AATCTTCCTGGCCCTTGTGTCCACCATCCTTGGGTGTTAGTATCATGTTATTTTATACCCCACAAATGAGTACAGTCATTCTGTCCCTCTCTTTCTGACTCATTTCACTTAGCAAGATACTCTCCATGTCTATCTACTTATAAGCAAATTTCATGATTTCATCTCTCCTAACAGCTGCATTGTATTCTACTGTGTAGATGTACCAACGTTTCTTTAACCAGTCATCTGTTCTCAGGAGCAATGCTTTTCAAATTAAGAATGTTAAAAGTGCCTGGCTGAAAAGAGCAGAAAATCTGACAAATCAGTTTGATGAAAAAGATGATCTCTGCAAGTTTTAAACTTACTAAAATGACACTCTGTGAGAGGAAATATAGTCTTTGTAGATCAGTTCCATATGATCATGTCACTAAAATGTAAAATAACCCTGTCTACTCATTGGATCCACCTCTATTATGGATGGAGCTTGGGAGAAAAATATTTTCTCCAAGGCCTCCAAGCACGAGGTGATCCTGTGGAATGTCTTCACTTGGTCTTAGTTTTGTGCCATTGAAATAGTTTAGTCTTCTAAACTCTAAATTAAAGCAAGAAAGCACATTTGATTGGACCCTGCTAACCAATGTTACAGGACTTGGAGATGTTATAAAGAACGTAAAGGCCGAGCACTGCTGAAGCCCAGGCAGCTGCACTCACCCACAACAGCTGCCGCCAAGTCAACGGCCAATTTCACTGCCTCACAACTGAGCTCTGTAGAGACGCCAAACTGCCTAAGGTTTCAGGCACTCTGGTCTTTTGGCTGAGAACGCTGGGGTCTTCAACACTGACTTGTAAGCTCAATACCCAGTTCATTATTCTGGAGTATTTGGAGTATACGCAGCTACGACTCCACAACAGTGACATCCTGGCAGGAGCACACCAACTTAGAAACCAAGTAAGGTCAATAAACAAAAACATGAACACAGAAGGTCCAACTACCAACAATGGCTCAGTAAACCCTCAGAAATGTATTTAATGTCCTTATTCCCTCATGGTGAGATATAATAATTTTCACAAATTATTTTTACTTAAGTATTTTTGATAATTACATTAGTAATTTAGTTGCAACAAGCAGTATATAATGAATTATCTTAGGCCTGCTAAAGGGGCAGGCTTCAGAGGTGGGTGAGAAGGTGACATAGTAGTGGGATTGGTGTTGGAATACAGAATGCCTGCAACAAATGTACTGTGAACAACTTTGTAAATCATGGTGTTTAAATAAAGTGGGAAAAAGTGTTTTTTAAAAATGCAAAGGCTGAGAAATATGTAACCTGAAAGTAGAATTATACCTCAAACCATATTTTAGCCAGTAGTCCTATACTAAGAGTTAGAAAAGCTTCAAAAAGAGAAGACAGAAATCATCTGCCTTTTGATGTGATGTTAGATGCCAGGGGTTCTTAGGTTTTCATTTTTTTATTAATAAACTTTCCCTGTAGTTAGATATGACCCTTTGAGCCAGCCTTAAGTATAAATAATTGATATTTCCAGTTGAAAGTGACCTTAAGGATGACAGAAAGGCTTCCTTCAAATCAATGCTGCACAGAGGACATAAAGATACACAGCAAGGCAGCAACAAATGGCCGAGGCAACACAGTGGGAGACTGAACCACACAGCTGGCTTGGCAGTGGAGGTGGGTGGTGAGAAGGAAGGGCTGGGGCCTTGAGGGATAAATGTAGGCACACAAGTGATGGGTATGGTGTTGGAATTATGTGCTTGGAAACCATCATTAACAATATTGGAGGGCTGGAGCAATAGTGCAGCTGGTAGGGCACCTGTCCTGCATGCAGCCAACGAGGGTTTGATCCTCAGCATCTCATATGCTCCTCTGAGCATCACCGGGAGTAATTCCTGAGCAAAGAGTTAGGTGTGCACTCCTCCATGGCACCCCCTCAAAATAAAAAACCAGTATTATAAATCACAGAACTTCAATAGGTTAAAAAGTTAACTCTGAGGTCTTCTCAGAGTGGTGGTGGCAACTTCCTCCCAATGCCCGTACTTCTGGAAGCCACCTCCCAGTCCCCACCATGTCGCCTTACCCAGTGGCCCTTCACTTTACAATCTAAATCTCTGAGGAGATGCAAACTAAGCAGCTGAAATTCATGGACTTACCAGTTTCCCTGGTTGAAAACCCCCATGGTGCCCTCGGGAGGGGGTGGGCCCAGTCCAGTCCTGCCAAAGCCATGGAAGCTGCACTCACACCCCATTGCCACTGCCACGCCAATGGCCGATCTTCCGGGCTTCACTAAGATTCTCTGCAGACTCATCCAAATTCTGCAGATCCCAAAGTTTCTGGAACACACAGGCTGTGTATCTCCAAATTTCACAGTACTGAAATTCCAGTAGAAGCATACTGAATTAGATGAAAACGTAACATAGAAACCAACTAAACAACAAAAACAAACGGAAGGCTCAACTAGTGACAAACAGCTTAGTAAATCCTCAAAAATTTACCAAAATCGTGATGAGATATAACAATTTTCACAAATTTTCTTTTACTGAAATATTTTTTATAATTCCTTTAGCCATTTGGTTGTAACAAGCAAAATAAAACGAATTATTATGTACCTGTTAAGGGGGCAATCAGGGGTGGTGGCTGGGAAAATAGGGACAACAGTGGATGTATGAACAACTTTGTAAACCATGGTGTTTAAATTTAAGGTTTTTGTCTTTTAAAAAAAAATCAATGCTACAAGGTAACAAACATGTTATGGCTGTATTTCCAGCATACTGTGAGATTCTTTGAAAGAAATTTTTAATAGACACATGTAGACTCAGAACCTTTGCTCAAACACTATAAATTCCTAACTATACCATCAACTTCTAAATCATGTTGTTAGAAAACTTCAACTTACATCAAACTGTCATCTCATTAATGCCACCCATTTGTTCCATGTCTCATCCAGGTCTTTCAAATATTCCAAGTTATTTTTTTTCCTTCCAGCTCTTCATGGTTTTCAAAACCCTAAGCACACTGACAAGAAGATGCTGCTGCCACATCATTTACATGATTTCAATTCTAAATTCTTTTAAAAAGGGGATCTTCTGATTGGGATAGTGAGCTACAGGGTTTTTAATCATTCTACCATCAACATCAAGCACATCAGCTGTTTGCATCACACCATTCTTTTTTTCCAATAACTTCAAGCACAGGTTACAGCTACTCAAAAATTATTAATTGGCAGGAATAAATGTGATAGAGAACTGTAAGACATTTGTTCAGTAAAGCAAAAACCAATTTTAAAAATTATAGACCAAATTAACTTTAGAATGAATTTTAATTCACTCTATTAAACTCAAGGAGAGCTTCATGAACCTTACATCCAACATATTTGGGGAAGAGTTAACCAGGTATTCAATAATTGCCAATCTAGAGGTTTAACTTTTTGTGGGTTATACTAGCACATCTCTACGGGTTCTGAATAAATCTGGCAAACCTATTCCCAACTGCATATTCCCAAGTACTTAAATAAACATTGGAGGTGTGATTTGAGCTTTATACAAACACATACTTTCTATATTTTTATTTCAAGTAGACAACTGCATCAAAATACATAGACTCAGAAGTTATGATAAAAAAAAATCAAGACATACCAAATAGTGTATCTCAGACAAGAAGTGCTTTAAGAGAGGATAGTTCTACATATGTAAGTCTGTAAATAATGTCACTCTATTTAACATATATTTATGATAGCATTGAGGAGGAAAAACAATTCACAGATATAATCAGTGTGTGGAATTTGCATAATCTCTCCATTTCTGCATGGACTTTTCTCTTAGTACTTTGGTTAGTACTTTGGCTTCCTGCTGCCTATCCCCCCTTCCCGCTACACACACACACACACACACACACACACACACACACACACACACACACACGATATATATGTTAGGTTCATTGGTATTTCTCAATTATCCTAGTCCAAATGAATGTGGGGAAGTGAGTGTGATGGAAGTCCTGTAATGACGGGGTTGCCTTTCCAAGGCTGGCTTCCATCTTGCATCTTGACCTGATGAGACAGACTTTGGTCACCCTCAACCCTGAACTGGAATAAGACTGTTAAAAAATGAATGGATACAACTACTGTTTAATATTAGAAGAGTCGGAGGGTGGGGTTTATTTAGAAATTTGAGCTAAAATATATTTTGTGAGGGGGTTGGAGAGATAGCACAGCGGGTAGGGCGTTTGCCTTGCACGCAGCCAACTCGGGTTCGATTCCCAGCATCCCATATGGTCCCCCAAGCAACACCAGGAGTAACTCCTGAGTGCAGAGCCAGTAGTAACCCCTGTGCATCGCCAGGTGTAACCCAAAAAGAAAAAAAAAAGAAAATATATTTTGTGACCAGAAATATGCCAGAGAACCCTAACTTCTGTTTATATCCATTTGTCTACAATAAAATCGGTTTTATTACAGGATGGTCTGCAGTTTTCAAGAACCTATTAATGGCATTAAGACAGGATTTACTATATATAATATATTAAGCAGAGATGCAACTATTGACATCATATAAAATCTAAATTTTACCACTGCAGCTATGCCACTAGTTAACTAAAATTAAGCAAGAAACTCTTTGACAGGATGTAGTTCTTTTTTTTACATAATGGTGGGGATCATTGACCTGGAGATATGGACAGCCGTGAAGCTCTGAGGAACAGGCATGCATACAACCAACATACCGCAGCCTTTCTTCCACTTTCCAACAATGGATAAATCAGATGTAGCAATCACACTTGATCTCAGTCATGTGGCCCTGTGAACTGAACTCCCTTGCCACATGGAGTATGTTGCTCTGTCATGTCATTTCCAAGTAAGATGCCATCAACAATCAACCACTATAAACAGGAATCATAGGTTTCTGTGGGACACTCCAAAATTGTGTAAAAAGAAATGTGGATACAAAGAGGACTTTGACATACTGTATTTTATAATCAAAACGATCAATTAGAAACATAGCAGGATTTGTTGAAGTTGTTTGAGGTTTAGAGTTTTATTGTCATTATTTCTTTTTCAAATAAAGAAGAGATTTACAGTGTGCCAATTTCTCTAACAATACATTATCACCGATGACATGTTCTCTTTTGCCTTAACATAGCCCCTCGCTTAGCCAGTTTGGGAAAGAATAAGGAGATCCTGAATGCGTTTGAGAGCCATCATGGACATCCTCAGTGTAGAAGGAGAACTCAAAGACTAATAATGTTGGGTCATTCTGTTTTTAAAAGCAAACCAAGGTACTGTGAGAACCAATCAAGCTTTCCTAACGGAGTCACGGTGGACACCCTGCACCATACGCCTCCGCCAGCAGCTCCACTTCCTCTGTTTTGTCACAGCCACAACAGAAAACGACAATGTTCCTTCAGTTGTCCTTTGCAAGAGCTATTCAGGTTCCCAATTTCTTTCCTCTTTCTTCTCATTGTTGTTTTAAGTTCTTAAACGAGTGCAAGTGCTCAGCATCTTTCATAAATCTTCAGGATCCAGTTCTTTCCAATGATAATATACTAGAAATAAAAAATATATAAGGCACATTACTCAAAGGGTCCCAAAATTGTCCTTCAAATCCTGTTTTAGATATGATCAAGGGGCCGAAGAGTACAGCAGGTAGGGCAACTGCCTAGCACACATCTAACCTGGATTCAATCCCTGGTACCAACACCCTTAAGGTCCCCAGAGCTCACCAGGAGTGATTCCTAAGTGTATGGCCTGAGCACCACTGGGTATGCCCCCTGCCCCACTAAAAAAAGTAAAAATATGATCAAGTGTAACAGTTAAGGATAACTTTTTAACTTCACAGTAAAACCTAACAGGTTTTTCTTTACTCTGAAAAATCTGCCATGCTACCATGTATAAATTCAGATACATTCTTACCAAAGATTTCCCAATTTACTAGAATATCATTCTTAAAGCTCAACAAAAAGGGGCTGGAGCAGTAGCACAGCGGGTAGGGCATTTGTCTTGCACGCGGCCAACCCGAGTTTGATTCCCGGCATCCCCGAGCACCTCCAGGAGTAATTCTTGAGAGCATGAGCCAGGAGTAACCGCTGAGCACCCACAGGGTGTAACCCAAAAAAAAAAGAAAAAAAAATCTCAAAAAGATATTAAAAAGACACCTGAGAATCAATACAACTGGTTTTATTGAAATAACCACTACATCAAAGACATGTCATGGACAAATTAGGAAATTTTTTTTAATAAGAGTTATACCCAGCAGGGTACATGGGGGACAACAGGGTCAGGAACTGACGTGGGGCTTCTAATTCCCTGACTCCTAGAAAATATATTTCAATGAATAAAAATTTAAAAAATAATTCTTATCAAAATGCAGCATTCACCCAAAACAGTGCTTAGAGGACAACCTACAACATGAAATTCTCCACTAGGGGGCCAGAGTCACAGTACAGTAAATAGAGCAATTGCCTTGCTCTCAGCTAACCTGTGTTCTACCTCCACGCCACATTTGGTCCCCTGAGCCTGCCAGGAGTGATACCTGAGCACAGAGCCAGGAGTAAGCCCTGAGCACATCCAGGTGTAGCCCACAATTCAAAAACCAAAAGAAGAAAGATGGCAAATCAATAATCTAAGTTTTCTTCCTCATGAGGAAATTAAAAGAATAAATAGAAAGTAAACCCCCTAAGAAGCAGGTGGGGAATAATAAAGAGCAAAAACTAACACAATTTTAAACAGAGGAATAAGAGAAAATAAAAAGATCAATAAAATTTATAATTCTTTTGTCAGATTTATCACCAGAAAAGGACCATCATGAATCAAAGAAGCACTGTCGAAGACATTAAAAACATTTGTTCGAGCGGGCCCAGTAACATCTCCATTGTGACAATTGTTACTGTGTTTCGCATATTGAATATGTCACAGGTAGCTTGCCAGGCTTTGCCGTGTGGGCGAGATACTCTCAGTAGCTTGCCGGGCTCTCCGAGAGGGGCGGAGGAATCGAACTCGGGTCTGCCATGTTGGCTGCGTGCAAGGCAAATGCCCTACCTACTGCGCTATCGCTCCAGCCCAGTTAAATATAAAAACACTTAAAAAATATAGAAAACTTTTTATTTCCTTAATGATGAGGGAAGCAAAAGGGAAAGGATACCTAAAGAAACATAAGGAATATGCAAAACACTATTTTGGAACTTTGGGGGGGGGGGGGGTGATGCTCAGGGCTTATTCCTAGCTCTGTGCTCAGGGATGACTCTTGGTATTCCTCAGTGGCCCAGAGGAGAACTAGGGTGAATATATGCAGGGAAAGCACTTACCCCCTGTTCTACCCCTCCAGCTCTCATATTCTGAATATTTTTAGTACCATTCAAATAATTACAAGGTAAGTTCTTTCATATGAAATATCCAAGTGTCTTGAATTTCCATTTGAAAATCTTGGGCACTGTTTGATTAACAAAAACATTAACAGAAGTCTCAATTAGCAACAATAGCTTAGGAAACCCTGAGAGACTTAATGTTCCCATAGTGAGATGCAACAATTTTCATAGATTTCCCTTTACTGAAGCATTTTTTGATAATTCCATTAGCCATCTAGTGGTGATCAGCAATACTAAATAAATTATGTGGGGCCTGCTAGCAGGCAAGAAGGGTGGCTGGAGATGGAGATAATGGTGAAGGGAAGGTAGATCACCACAGTGGTGGGACTGAGCTGGAACACTGATGCTTGTAACTAATGCTCATGATAAGCTCACGGAAGCCAGGGTGCTTTAAACAAAGTGAGGGGTGGGGGGAGAAAATCTTGGGGCTGTATTAAAAATTGGCTGGTCTTTGAGAGAGACCCGTGAAGCAGGAATTTGTCACCCAACGGTTTAAATCCCAAAGTTTAGGAGGTTGGGGATGTGACTCAGTGACAGAGGTGTGCCTGCTGGTGCTGAGACCAACAGTCCAACCCCAGCCCAGCCCACGTCAAGCACTATCATGGCAGCACCACCATTTGTGATCCCTGGTGCCACACAAAGTGTGTGTGTGGTTTCTGGTGCATGCGAGTGCTACACAAGAAGCATGCACAACCACCCATCATGAGTGCCACAAATACAGAGTGTGCACACCACAACCAAGGATGTGTCACCCCCCACTCATCGCAATAACGATGAAAAGAAGGGAAGGTGGAAAATAACTCTAAGTTTAACAAGGCTGTTTCTCTACCTTCACATATAGATTATATCACCAGATATAATCATATAGATTATATATAGACTATAACTGAATGAACTTATAGATTATAACTGAATGAACTTCAGTAAAGCAAAGGAATTTTATAATAAAGAGGTGACTTGCACAAAATGACAGTGACACCACAAGTGTGAACTCGCTTCTGGGTACCTAAAAGACATGTCACAACCACCCCCTCACCCCCACCTCTCCATACCCCCAGGCCTCCTTCCTCTCCCTCCTCCCAAGACAGGCGTTTGGGCCCCAGGATGCTGGAGGTGGGGGTGGGGGCAGGGCGGGGGGAGACACTTCCATGCCTAAGACAGGGTTGTATTATGCTCAGACACCTACATGGAATAAACAGTCTCTACTCATACAGAACCCAGCTGGATATCAAGACCACAAGTTTACATGAGAAAGGCTAAGAACAACAGAGAATTCATGTTATTTGATTCTATCAACTGAACTTTCCCCGAGACTACCCTATTCTGAATCCACTCACAATCATGCTCTGCCTTCTGAGAGAGAAGACCACTGGGGCATGGTTCACTTACGATAAAACTCTAAGGTTCTGTACTATCATCATTTTTTAAGTCAAGAAAAGTGACTCATCTACTCCTTTATTTGAATCAAGATCCCTACTGTATCTCTTCCCTCATGGGCAGCACCAATCACTGACACCCTCAAAGTAGCCCCTTTAAGGCAGCTTTTGTTATATGGTCTGTATGGAGCCCAGGATACTCTAAAGATGCCACAGGTTTAACATTACATAAAGCATAAGGGGGAAGCATGGAATAAGACAGAGGGCCAGCCAGCAGGATGGTGGGGGCACATCAGAAAGACAGTGTGGAAGAAGCCACTGCCAGGAGTGCCTTAGGGGACAACACTGTCCTATAAGGAACTCTGTCTTCACGGCACAGACTAAGATCTTTGTTTTTGAACTTAGCATGAGGCTTGGGATCCTTCTTGGATACATTATTCTATCCTACTACTTCAATTAAATATCCTACATATTTGAATAATTTGGTATAATAAAGTTATGCTTCAAATGTTTAAAGTACAGATGGAAATGATAAAGTTCACTACATAAAAACAAATGCCCTATAAAATCTTCATGATATTATTTGATGATAAAAAGCTGTGACATTACATAGACAGCATGTCTTTAACTTTGTAAAATTAGAGGAAAATATACAGAATTATCTGCTTAGAGAAAATATAACAAAAGCATTATGTTAATAATGATAATAGAGTGAGTGACGAGATGGCAGATTACTTATTTTCTTCTCTGAGCATTCTGGCATCTTGAGATGTTTATGTAAGGCCATGGAGATAGATCAAAGGGTTGGAGCCCAGACTTTTCATGTTCGAGGCTCCAAGTTCAATGCCACTCTGGCGTGCCCCTACCAGCACCACTGGGCCTCAACACCAAACCATGGGCATGCGCAACCTTAGCACTGGAAGGAGTTAGCCCTCCGATCTCCAAGCATTGCTGGGAAGCCCTCTATCCATTCCCCCCCGCCACCACACACACACACACACACACACACACACACACACACACACACCTTTCTTCTACTATAAAGGACTTCATTTTATAATAAAAATGGCTTTTGAAATAAAATTTATAAGAGAATGTGTTACAAGATACAAGGACCAGTTGCCACCCACCCAAACAACAATACTGGAGAGGTAAGAATTGGCATGATAAAAACATTTGTTTTTCCAGCTGTGGGGTGACCCATGTAACCCTGGCACAGCTGTGAGCAGTGCTATGTTCTGAGGCCAGTGCATTGAACTACTCTCTAAAAAAAAAAAAAAAAAAAAAAAAAAAAAAAAATTTGTTTTTCTCAAGTGCTTGCAAACTGAGAGTGAATTGAACTTTGTTTACAAAACAACTGAGTCACTTTTTTGAGTTGGAACTTTGGGGTTATAAATGGCTGGTGGATGATGCCGGCAAAAGTTAAAAAACAAAACAAAACACAACTCTAACTCTTGAGCTAGAACTTGAGGGTTATAAATGGCTGGTGGAGGATGTAGTGGTGGGTTGGCAGGAAAGAAGTCCAAGTATGGAGTGTCCTGACAATGTCACTGGGCTGACAGTTCACTGAGCCTCATCTGTTCTTTGGAAAACTTTAACTGACACCACTGTACAACAGCAGCCTCCAGTGGCTGATGTGACATTATTAAGGAAGAGACATCTATCTGTTCTTTTTCTCTCATCCATGAGTGATTCCCAGTTTAACACTAAACACACTATGTTTAATTTCTGTCTTTTTAGAGGAAAGGCAGCAGCAAAGGATGAGAGAAAGATCTATAAAATTCTATGAAAAAGATTGAGTTTATA